AATACAGACACCAGTATCAAAATTCAGCTAAGCATTCCGCTTAGACTTATATGAAGCTTTATAAGTCACTCAATCTTAAGTCACCAGATCAAACTAACCAGATTTCAAATGGTATTGGTATGAATGTCCATAGCTGTTGGATTTGGGAACAGATGGGTTGAAGAAAAGCAACTGCTCACCAAAGAGAAAATTAAGAAGTGTTTGTATGGCTGAACCAACTATTTGAGACTATAAAGATGAATAATTATGGGCTCTTATAAGAATGAATGAGTCTCTCTGGCTTTGATCAGACAGACTGTACACTTGGGTACCAAATGGATGAAACTCAACTGCAGATAATGTGTCTGAGTGCTAGGCCTGCTGGAATAACCATTTCCTGTCAAACAGACCCTATATAAATATATACGGTACTTTGCTGGGATGGACACTTTGACCAACATGTCCATATCCATGCAAAAGTCCTGGGCCTATAAATGTACTTATGAAGCCTCTTTTAAAATGATATCGTATGTTAGACCTTTTAAAACTGCATTAGCTGTTTTCATATAACAAGTTGACCTATATCAGGCCTAACAAAAAACTTAATTCTTGCTTAGGCTTTTTATAGCTTAGCATATTGGATTGAAACAACTTGTTTAGTTGCCCCCATATATCCTTTAAAGCCAGAAAATAGGTTAATTCAAGAATAAATGCAACCAGTCTTTCAAATCTAAAAAAGAAGACACTGATTAAAAAGTTTTCCATAACCAGCCAAGAGCAGGAAAGATTATATGGGATAAACAGGGTAGCTCTGTGTAAGTTGAACTCTGGCTCTCAATCTCAGCAAAAAAGTGATACCTGCTGAATCTGTGTTCATGCTTGCCACATGAAATCACCTGAGGTATTCTAACTTTCAAGATAAGGAAGAGAAAACATTCTTAGAGAAATCAAAGATTTACATTTGGTGTCTCTTTTTATAATTCTATAGAAAGAGAATATGCAGAACTAAAGAGTTACAATTAAGATTAATTATTTCCCACAACATATATCCCTGCATTTCTGCAAATCAAATAAGGCAGCATTAATGGGTCATTCTTAATTTTTTATCCAAACATAATTAGGGGTAGGAGAGTAGGCTACAAAATAATGAGAACAAAAGTCACCCAGTGAAATCCATCATCAACTGAGGACATGAACTAAGGGCCTCTCAGGTCCCAGACCTATTTACTAACCTCCTGGCTCTTTGGAGCAAATTCTCCCGATCCTCTTCCTATGGATGCTTATAGCTTCACTCCAAATGATCAGCGACACTTTTCCCTTGAGTAAGAAATTTGATTCTACTTTCAGGAAAAACAGTTCAGGATTCAACAAACTTCTGTTGCCTTGGAAATGAAGTTCCAGGCCATTCATACTTAAAGCAAAAGCAAAGTTAGAAGAAAAGAACTTTGAAGCAATACATAAACCCAGCGGTCCCCAACCTCTGCACCGTGGCCCACTGCCAGTCCACTACGTGCACAAGTTGAACTGCACACACATGCGTGTTTGCACTGGCCCCAGATAGACTGCCAATTCACAAAGATTGGGGACAGCTGCATAAACCAATTATTTGAAATTGGCATTTCCCCCATATAAAGAAGAGGCTGGACAGAGATTTACAGAAACATAGAAAGCCAACAGCAGAAAAAGACCTAGTGGTCCATAAAGTCTGTCCCTTGACAGTTTTTTATTTTTATTGTTTTTAATGTTTATTGGATGATGGATATGTGTTTATCCCAAGCATGTTTAAATTCATTTACTGATGATTGACTCATTATCGCCACTGGAAGTTGGCTCCAAGCTTCCATTATTCTTTCTGTGAACTAATACTATCTAAAATTACTTTTGAATTTATTTCTCTCCTGTCAATTTAAGTTTATGTCCCTGGTATTCTTGATTTTTGTTTAATTTTAATTTTTTATCTACGCATTAAAAAGCAATCCAGTAAGCCCACTTTTTCCAAAACTTAAAAATACCAAAACCTAGGGCTCACAAAAAGAGAATTGAGATTAGGAGTTGTAAGCTCTCCTTATTGTAGTACGTATGCTACATATATTAAAAGCAATCCTTTGGATCCACAATTTTCCATAAAATTCAAAGCAACACTACATACTTGTTCAGTATACACATTCACCTACAATCCAGGGCACATGAAAAGCAGAATTGGTAAGAAACAATAAGATATTTTTGTTGACGATAAGTTATGTCCAAGTACTCATTAGTTTATAATACAGTTTATTTTTAAAACCAACATTTGCATTGTGAAATTCTACAAGAAGGAGTATCAGTTTAAAGTCACATTTAAATATCTAAGATTGTATTTTAAATTCTATGTACAACAAATCTTTGTACAATGGTTTTACTTAAGAATAAACATTATTAAAAATTCTTTATAGAATCTATATTTGTTTGAAAATGTGCTGTTTGTACAGAGGGTCAGGACTCTTGTATTTTTAGGATCTCATATTCTTGGCAAATGTCACTTCAAAATGGCCCTGTCCAGAATGCTGAATTGCTTTGTGTCCTTTGTAACAAATGCTGGAAGAAAAGGAAAGATCAGCACAAGTTTCAAACAGTTCAAAAGGAAAAGGGAAGTTGTTTGTCTAAAATATGCTTTGAATTAGGCAACACTCATATCCTACAGACATGGCAATGCCATTAAATATTTCTACTTCACAATCCACATAGTGGAAAATATCTCTTATAGCTCAGATATATTTTAACAATCACTTACTAAAAATGAAGTCTGAGGATATGATGCAGTGTAATGTGCTAATATAAACTGGCATATTAGACTTGTATCTATGAGGTCAGGAAGCATTTTGATGAAAGATTAGATATATAGAAAATGATGTATTATTATCGCATATACAGTACTGTAATGTGGATGCTATCTCGTTATAGACCTAGTAGTGGCTGAAGTGTCTAATGCAGAAGGTCAGTACCCACAGTTGTTCTATAAATTATTACTGCATTTTAAAAAAATTAACTCTGTGATTGTTGTGGCTTTTAAAACAAGTCATTATTATATCTGTGTTTAATGAGGTGGAATTTGCTAGCTTCCTGTTTCAGTCTGTGTTTCTGGAATATAGATATATATGTGATTATGCTATAATATTATAATAAGTATCATTCGCTGTAATGCTGGGGAGAAGCAAAAAAGAGACTGTACCATAAAGACCAGATAATGCTTGAAAGATGGTAGATTGTAGACCAATGATTCAACAGTGTAACAAGGCAGAAATGTCACCTGGTGCCTTCTATGCAGCCACTTAATTGTCACTGATTGATCAAAACTCGTTTTCTTCCAGTCTTGGAGCACATTCTTGCTTCTCTTTTTCACATTAAAAAAAATGCAACTAGGCATAAAGATCAGGTTGAATCCACAATCCATTTGGTTCCCACATAAATTCCAAATTAATTGGGAAGCTTTTTTTTCTTCTGCTCTTCTAATACCACTTGTTTGTTAACGAATATTTCAGCCCAGAAGACTACATCAGATACCAGACCACGTACACGTACACGTACACATACACCCAGCAACACTGCTTAAGTTTGCTATCTTCTTGTCAGGGTTAGGGTTAGGGTGGCATCATTAGGTGAGCTATAACTTTGCTGTATTTACTAGAGTACCAGCACTATAGTAATTAAAAGATATAGCATTAACACCAGCTCAGGAGATCACCAATCAACTTTGGCGATACACTCCGAGAAAGAGGCAGGGCAGACTTTCTTCCCTTCTGCAACTTCATGGATATTATGATTTCCAGCTGCCAGCTATGCATGTTAAGAAAGCTGATTACCTGAATGTCATACTGAGTCTGACTTGAGAGTCACATTCTGTATATATTCAACCACAATTTAAGGGTCATGCGGGCTGAGAGCTGAAGTTGAATCTTAAGGTTGCTAAGTATTGAAAAATACTGGGCTAGCTAACCCTAACCTTCACAACTTTCAGAAAAAGTTCAAAAAACATAGCTGGTATATTCTGTCATCTCTCCTGTCTTAAGTGACTAAGAGCTACGTATAATGGTAGGAATCTGTCTGAAAATTCTCTAGTAAAAAAATGCATCTGTCATGATTACAGCATGGAAAAAGCAATTTGTTAGCCAGATTTACATTCAAAACTGTTCATTATCTTAACTTCTCCCCAATTCCACTTGTGACAGGTTGAAGAAAATTGGGAAGCATCAATGAGGTTGTTTAAGGTCTTCCCTGAAATTGTAAATCTGTGATATTTGGAGTTAAAAATTGTTATTGCAATGCTTCACTTTCTGTATGAGCTGACTATGTGGAACAGTGCATGGCTATAGAAGGGATGTATACATGCACATATAATAGTTGTCAACATACATATTAGACGAGTTGATCTTTAAAAGAGTAAGTGTGCAATTAAGAGTTAATAGTACCGTATATACTCGCGGATAAGCTGAAAAGGTTAGGTGCCAATTCACTCCCCAAATTTGGGTTGGTTTATCCATGGATGGACTTGTACTCTGATAAGTTTTCCCCTCTGAATTCTTAAAGTACTTGAATGTATATCCCTTTCTATCCCCATCTGCAAATAAGCAGACCCTCAAATATTTAAGCAAAATGTCATTTTAAAAAATGTGCCACCCATGGCTAAACCAATTGTGAAAATTAAAACAAATCAAAATTGCAAGTGTCAGTTTATCTATGAGTGGGACATTTTTCATAGTATTTTAGTGAATGGCAAGAATATTTCAGGCCTAGATAATCCCCCTTCAGCTTGTGCAATGGGGTTGTCTAATGGCTTTGTCCTCCACACAATCAGATCAATTAAGTAAGTAAGGAGAAAAAACTTCATCCCTCCGTTCTATGCTTCTTAGTAGAGGAAGCTTAGACAACCACAACAATTATGGTATGCAAGAAGCAGACACCTTCATGGGAGATGGTACTTTGAAAAATGGGTTGATGTCCAGGCAAAACAATTCAAGGGTCAGATTACCAGCAGATGAGTTTATAGATGAGTATATACAGTATTGAAAGAAGCTGTTGGTTTGAGAAATGCAATCAGAAATAACATTCAAGGAGATGCTGTATATATCACTTTTCTTTCCCTTGTTCATTCTTCTGCCTTCCCCATTTGTCTTTCCATCTTAGCTCTAGGAAGTGGCTATTTAATGTCCAAATAAAGGTGATAGCATGCAAGCTTCCTTCTCCATTAACAATGGCACTCACTGCAATTAACTTAATTCCTTTCCACATTTTCCTCAGACCATAACTGAATGTGAAAATGTCTCCAAATCTATGACAGTTGCTGCTACTGATGATCATGGCACAGATTCAAGTGCAGAATCCCAGGACGGGAGGAATTAGTGTATTACAAAGCCTAGGATACACTCCAAATGATTTATTTTCAAAGCTGAAGTTCACATCTACAGATGAATAATGCATACTGTTTGTTGCAATTCTCTTTGATTCATGTCCCATTCTGGACATACCTAAAGAGGTTTAGATGCCTGGTTTGAAGGAGGAAATGCACTGGTGAGCAGACTATCCTCCATGACCCCTCCTAGTCCAACTCTATGGATATACAGCGGCATTCTTTAACTCGTGTGATCCTCTTTTTCTTGATTGGAGGTTGCATTTCCGGGCAGGACAGTGTAACCACCATGGTGGTAAATCTCTTTGGTTTGCAGAATGAACACGATTGGAAGGACCCTTCTTCCCTATGGATATGCCTTGGGATATAGAATGAATTGCACTGGCCATAACAGAACCTATTAATGATGGTTTGGCTTCTGCAGCCTTCTTCTTGGATTGTTTGCTTAAGCGGCTGCGTTTTGCACCAATCCCTTTTCAGATACTTTCGTTCTGTGACATGCAATGCCTCTTGGCTTGATTCCAGCACCTCTTCAGTAGATTTGGCCTTCTCCTTTCTCCGGGGTCTGGAACCTGCTTGTGGTGGTGGCGGCTGCTGGGTCTGTTCAGAGTCATTGGGTTGGGCTTTGTCAGGAGAAGGGATGGTTCCTTGTGATCCATGGTTCCTCTTAGTGCCCTCTGCTGAGGGCAGCAGAAGACTGAACAAAAGGAGGACACCAACAGCAGAAACTGTGTGAGTCATTCTAAGAATACAAAAAGAAATATTATCAGATTGTTTTCTACCAAGCAAAAAATATATTCAAACCTACAAAAAAATTTCTATGCTAGAGAAATTCAGAAATTTAAATCTATTTATGCTATACTTACTAACAAACAACCATAACATCAAGTTAATATACTGGACTTTATTATTTGAGTCAAGTCAGTGCTGCAAATTTTGAATGTTTACGTGAATAGACTGTGGCAAATGAGTATTACATTAAGTCTTCCAACTGAGGTTACTTTATTCACCCAGGCCCTTGGGTAAGACCAAAACTTGGGTAAGACCAAGGAAAGCAAATAAAAGCTCAAATATTTCATGAAAATATTTTAAATGAAGCTTGATGCTTTCACACGAAGTTCTTCCATGAGATTTTAAAATTTATTTCATTTCTTTAAAGATCTGCAAAATAAATTTTGTTCCCACCTTTTTGCTACTACATATCTAGATTCAGATTCCATAAATTGGATTTGCGGTAGCATAATTATCACTCAACACACTGAATTGCCAGTCTCAATGACAGGATCACAATAAGGGATTTGTGGCTGAAGAGAATGGATTTTTTAAAAAATTAGAAACTTGATTTTCAATAAAATTAGTTAAAGAAAAACAAAAGTAACACTAGCTACCTATTATACAGCAGGGCCCTAGAGAAATTGAGAGCCAGACTGCATGGACCATTAATGTAACTTCTAGTTGATTACATTTTTTTTCTTTTCCAATTTGCAGTATGGAGTTGCGGGGCGGGGGAGGACAAACAGGGTTAGGATGATGGCATGTTTTTGCTCTCACTGCAATAGATTATGGCCCCTCTATCTACTGGTGCTGGCTTAGATTAGGATTCTATGAGGAACAAAACGATTTAACCTTTCCACATATACATTGCTTAGATCTGTTGGGAATCTGGGAAAGGAAAAAAATATTTCAAAGAATAAAACATTACATATTATATTTAGTTTGGGTCCTAAATCACACAACTCCAAAAGGAAACAATGACCAATGCAGCCTTAAATCGCTAATGAAAGAATGCCGCTATGATTAACAGATTTCCTTAAATATTGGAACATCTTCCCTGAGGAAAATGCAGAAAGAAAACAAAAATGTGCTTGCCAAGCCTACTGGCTTGAAGATGAGTTGCCTGTGAACAAAACTCATTTAGACAAACAAATTCAGGTCATTAATTTAAGAAAAATATTGCTACAATAAAATAGAGTTTAACTTTTAGTTAAATGCAATATGGTTTCTGAACACAACATATTTAAGCATCTAAACCAAAGGGTAAAATTAATGTTTATTCTAGTGCTGTCGCATTTTGCATTTCTTGGCCTCCAGTCAGGCTAGGCCATAATTTTCCTATTACTTTACATGTTTTTTTTAGGATGTAATTACTTAATTTTGTTTTAGAAATTTCAAAACTTTTGTTTTCTCAGATCAGCATGGGCCAAAATAGTCTACATGTAGACTTTGGCAACTACCGTACGCCTAAATTATAATTGGCAAGTAATGTTAAATCCTCAGCATATGAATCTCATGCTTATGGTGTACTATAGTAAACCCCCAATTTAAAGGGGGGAGTTCAATTGGTAGCTTTTTACACTCCTGACTGGGTTTATATGACATCAAATCCCAATCCAAGTAATCTTTCTTTAGTAAAAAGCAGGTTGCATTTATTTATGACACAATCATGTTAAATAGATTTCAAAAGAACAAAAGGAGAAATGACAAGAAAGAAGAGACAAGAGCGAGATCAACAACAAATTAAGATTACTGTATAAAGAAATTTTCTGTAGAAAGAGAAAAGATCTTGGAAAGAAGACTGAGGACACAGATTTGATTTAGCAGGAATTGAGATAAGCAAGGACTTGATTAAACCCCAAGGTATCTGACAGGCCCCCAAAATGTTAATACCACATCCCCAGTTACCCAGAATTTGGCCAGTTCTTAAGATCCAGAATAAGCATTAGATTTCAGATGAAGTAGTCAGTGGAACTCTAATTCCATTAAATTAACTTCTCCACTAAGTTATAAGAGCTTTAGATACAGCTCCGATTTATACAGCAATTTAACAGGTAGTCGACATAAAGCTATTCAGATTCACTTCTTCTCACTTGCATCCTTTCCAAAATGTATGAAATACATGAGTGTGTATTTTGGTACCCAGTAGATCCTGGGCTCATCTGACTTTCACTAATTCCTGAATCAGTGAAATATCTAGCATATTTTGAGTCTCTCTCTCTCTCTCTCTCTCACTCTCCACACATTTTCTGAAGACCTAGCTCTCTGAAGAAGATTCTAATACTAAGAAAAGTTGTAAGGAAATAGAAGACGATGACAAGCACTAAGGTGGATAGACTGCATTACAGCAGAGATAAGTGCACTATTAGTAGATCCAAGAGACCAAATTTGGGGCAGATCATTTGTGGGGAAAGTCTATCTATGTGGTTGCTAAAAACCACATAGATAAAAATCAAAACTAACCCAAAGGCATAATTTTTCCTCCACTTCCAACAGACCTGCAGCTGATTGGGCAACAACAACCTGACTTCACACCTGCTGCTAGCCTCAGCAGCATCTCCACCTCCCTACTCACCTCCACCTCGATTTGAACCAATATTTTTATCAGTTATTAATCCTCCCTACTTGAATCAGTCTTTAATATGAAGCTAATATATGCTCAGTCTTGCGGGGGTGGGGTAGATTTACACTGAGAATAGGAAAGGAAGAGAAAGATTGTATTATGGATACAATGTTCAATAATTTACTTATGGGACCAAAAAAGGAATCCTTCCAGGTCAGTTTTGCTTCTATTCTAGCCTAATGACCTGGATTGTTCACAGATAGGATACAATTGAGTTATTCTCATCAGTGTATGTTACAAATTTGCCAAGAAATGTAGCGATATGGTCATCTTTTATTTTGCTTGAGAGTTTTCTTTTTTTGATGTGATATCAAAGGTGGAGGGCACAATACCAGTGATGATCTCTCTCTCTCTCTCTCTCTCTCTCTCTGTATATGACATTTTAGAGAAAATATATTAACAACAAGAAGAAAGAAAATACAAGAGTAGAATGCGAATGAGTAAACAAGGATTTACAAGTGTTAGAAATAATTTTAGTCTGTTATTAATTATGAATAACGATTGAAAAGCCTAGAAATAATAAATTCATCACAGTAGAAATTAAACACATCTCTAAAACAATTGCTAAACTAGCAACAGCATCCTGAGATACAAAGCAAACACAATAATAATGCCCTGCTGGCATAGTCACAATTGCAAGGTTTTTGGGTCGCAGTACATTACTAACCTTTGTAAGCCTGCAGTCTTGCTCCTCCTTTTAATTTTTCTTTTCTAATTAAACAGCCAGAGAGAGAAGGACCCGAACAAATGGCTGTTAATGCTTTTACAGACAGACTCAATATAAACTGAATTGTAAATCTGAATCACAGATCTGTCCTGCGGATGGGGAGAAGGGAGACTATATTGTCCTAAGAAAGAGTTTACAATATTTTTCTTAGCAGTAAGACCAGATGTTTCTTTGAAGCTTTAAAAAAAAATCTACTGAAAGAATAGCATTCTACCAAGAACAAAGTTTTCTCCTAAATTTCAAATTAAATTGAATTTAGAGATTATAAACTACCAACTTAGAATTTCCTTTTCTGCTATGGGACAATCCTTCATAAAGGGATGATTTGGGTGGTGTTGGGTTTTTTACTTTTTTGCAAGTGAGTTTTGACTCCTGGGAACTGCCTGAGCAAGTCCTTGAAGTTTTCTTGGCAAGGTCTTTCCAAAGGGTTTGTTAATGCCCACTTCCTAAAGCTGAGCTCACCTCTACACCAAATTGGCTCTCAACAATAAATATCATGGGATCACCTATAGACATTTTAATATATTCTATCGAAACTCATGCAATTGGTATTCTTTTTGAAAACTAATTTATCTATCAAAGAAATTATTTAAATTTCACCTTTTCTGTGAGAAATCAATGCAGATGCTTTTCCCCCAAATTTCATTCCAGTAGTAATCAAATGAAATAGGTTAGGATGAAAGAGAGACTAACTAATCCAAAATCACCAGGGAACACTTTGATAGGAACCTGATTCTGAGTCCCCTCAAATCAGGTCAAACATTTAAACTTGCCTTAAAAGATGGAAACAGACATAACAGCATGCAAATGATCAAAGATATATTTCAGAACATCTAATTCTAGTGCGAGAGTCCACTATTACAGCATCTCCCTAAGACAGCTTCTGTTTGATCATTTCTAGTGGTGAATGAGATCCTTTAACACTCAATCTTTGATTGTTGAACCAATTTATCTTATTTTTCTGATGTCCTACTAACCTGTAATTTGAACTCAGTTTCTTGTCCTGTCATAGTGTTGCCTTTTCCATGGTAAACATATCCAACACCTTTGAATATTCCTCTTTTTTTCCCCCCAAGCCCTTTATTATCTAGGTTAGTTTTCTTTAGACACACCCCTGATTTTCACTGTCTAAACTATGGTGATCAGAGGTAGAATAACAATGACTTCTCTTGATCTAAACTATACTAACTGTAAGATTGCATTCACTTTTTCATTCAACTGCATCCTGCTATTAATTTATATTTAGCTTGTGATCCACCAAGACACTCAACTTTTTGCCTATACTGTTGCTTAACATGGTCCCCTTTCCATACTAAATTCTTCCCAGCCAAAAGGAAGACTTCAGATTTGTCTCTGCTGAAATTCCTCTTCCTTAGTTTGATTAAATGTTCTAATGCATTAACATCCTCTTGAATCTTGATTCTGAACTCATTTGCAAAATGATGAAAGGGTTTTCCTTGGATCTCAACCTGGGTATAAGAGTGTCTCCGTAGAGAAAGCGGTTAGTGCTTCTATTCTAACTTCTGACTAAAAGATATTACACGTGTATCTTATCTTTGCCAAAGAAATCTTAATCAAAACACAGTAATCATTTTGATCTATGCAGATTGTGTATGCTATATCGGAATGGATAAGCAACACAGAATCCTCTGAACCTTTCTACAGTATAGTACTGTATCTAGCAACCCTTGTTAAGAGTGTTTTTTTTTAAAAGGTGCTGACCTGAGTTTTCTAGGGTTACCCAACACTTGGAGGGGGCCCAGAAAACCAGAAGATCAGATGGCAGCATGGACTTAATTTTTGCTTCACCTCTCTTTCTTTAGCAACTTTAGTAGCATGAAGAGAGTAAGAAACAAAGCCAGAATCAAGAAAGGAAGGGGAGAAGAGATGGGGTAAAATATTTTGGGTGGGTCTCTTTGGCTTTGTTGACAGCTGGACTGGAAAAATGTTGTGTGTTGGATTTGCTTACAGTTAACATGGTATTTAGCCTTCCTCCCTGTAGATACTTTATGTGTCCTAATCTGATATCCTTTAAATTGGCTTTGTACCTAACTGTCCTTCCTCCAAGTATGGGGTTTTTGAGAACTTGTTCTCTTTAAAGGGGTAATTGTCCCTCTTCATAATGTTAAGTTTTAGTCTTTTGTTCAGACTAGTATACTGGGACCACTTTATGCCTTCCAAATGTGGTTTTGCTAATAGTGAATTGAGATATGAAATGACAAATTTTATATTTGTTAATTAATATAATGTTAGGGCTCAGTATGGACTTTTTGCTGGCACCTGGATGGGAGAATACATTACTTATCAGATTTGCCTATTTGTTAAGAGACACATTGTGGGATGAATTACAGTAGCTTTATATTTGTTAACTATGAAGTGAAAAGATGGTGAAATTGCTTACACTTTTGGTGAGGATGGGAATTCTCTTTCTTGGAATAGAAGTTCTCTATTTTTTTCTTTTTGCACCTCTTGTTCTATTTTTTCTTTTTCTGTCTTGTTTTATCTTTTATTGCTGTAGTTAAAACTTTTTTTTTTTTAAAGAAGTAACTGAATCTGGGCAGGAGGCCATTGCTCTTTCTTTTAACCTATTTGCATAGCTTGTCCTAGAAACCTCCCTACAAAATCAGAGGCCAGCTTGCCGGAGTAGCTTACTCCTTGTGTCCGCAAAAGTGATAGTTCCTCTCTCCGACCTTTCTGTGGAAGCGCTACTTGCGTTGGGCCACTGAAATCTACCCAATTCCCACCGTGCTTGCATAAACGTCAGCTTCTCGTTTAGCTAACCGGCGTCAAAAGCAGATGCTTCTCGCTCTCCGTGGCATCGTGGGAACTCTTACCTGAATGGAAAATAACCTTACGACAACGCGGTACGCGTGACCTGCAATAAGCTCGCACGGTGCAATAGGATTGTGTGTTTGTTAGTTGGATTTTTGTGAGTTGGTTAGGGATTTTCTGCCTTCACTGTGAGTTGTATTGTGTTTGGGGGGAGAGGGCGCACGAAGGGAGGCTCAGCAAATCTCATTGTAGACATGTTGTACTCTGACAATAGGTCTGAATCTGAATCTACCTAGCGAAGTTAAGGGGTTGTCACGGCTGCAAACCGCCCGTGGCAGGAAAGCTCTACGCAACTATCCACGACGGCTGGTCCCTGAGCGTTCCGACTGGCAAGCAAGCTTTCGGCTTGCAAAACACCGCAAGGGGCCCCCCATTTCGAGAGATACTTTGCTCAAATCTCCCACTTCTGCGCCGCCGCCGCCTTCCAGACAACTTTACTCGCCTTCGCGACTCGGCCGCAATTGCTACTCGAGTGTAAACAACGTTCGGTAATTTCCATAATTAAGGTGCCGCTTTATTAATTCAAGTGCCAGCGCGGCAGACATGAACCTCCTTTGAGACGCGGAAGACGCCACATTTAAAAACCAATCGCAGGATTTACTCTGGGCAGAGTTTACCGGGCGTTGCGTCGGCCTCGTAACCCGGCAGGCAGAAGGGCGAGACGCGGGGGCTCGGAAGCCAAGCTTGACGGGGGAGGGGATGCTGTCTCTGCCCCTGAGCGAAGGGCTCAAACTTTTAGGGAGATCGAGGCGATCGTCCCCACGTTACACACCGCGGGGACTGTCTCTGCTACAGACTGAGAGAACGCCTGCAACGCACTGAACGGCTGAGCTTGAATAGTCAAACAGTCACAGAAGTGCATTGTCTACCTTCAGTAACCCCGGCGGCTCTGCCCTGGGATAAAACCCCCGCTAGGTTTTTCTCCCGGTTAGTTCACGTGCACGAGCCTCCGTTTGAAAGCTCCCACCTAGCACCCAAGAAAAGAAGAACCTCCCCTTCTACAACTCGGGTAAACCTCCCTATTACCACAAGTATGAAAAGCCCCCATGCCCCAGGACGGCCAGTCTTTCCCGCGCCATCAATAACGCTAAAAAGTCGTCTTTTTTTTCCCGCCTCCCGAAAATAAAGCCCGCTGAACTCTGGGTCTTGTCTTGCCAAGAAAGTGGCTCGATTTCCCCCCGCGTTTGTTCCCCAAGTCTTCCGAAAAACAACGCTCGGCACCACGTCTCGAGTAAAGCCACGGAGCTCGGCTGCTCTCTTCTAGAAATCAGCCTTGGCCTTTCCTACTCCGCGACGTGGAGCGTCGAAAGCCAAGCTGGGACCCTGCCCGCTTATCCCTCACCTGCGACGGTGACCGGAGCTTCGCCGCTGCTCTTCCCGCTTAAGGCGCTTGTCTCCTGTCTCGGATTTGGGAACGCGGCGCGCTAGCTGCCATTTAAATGCCTGCCAGCTGAGAGCGGCCCTCCGTGTCATTGGCTGAGGCCTCCCAACCCACCCCCTAACCGCTTCCAGCCGCCGCCGTCGCCAGGATTTGCGCTTCCCCCCCCAAAACAAAAACAAAAACCCCTCACGCCTAACAATTCGCTACTACCGTATTCACACGCTGTGGGTAAGAATCTTTTCTCGCATACGGAGACAACACATGCAGGTCCTACACATGGGGTGGAACAGCAACGCGCGTGGAAACGCCGTTTCTCTTCCATTCCCAACCTTGATTTTGCGAAGGATTGTGAGGATTTCTTATTAGCTGGCTCTGTAGTTTCCAGTTCGAGCCCCTTACAAAATTGCTGATGGGCATGTGGCCAGGAGCAGTTGGCTGCTGTTGTTGTTTGTTGCAGCCTTGTTTCCAGTGCTTAATTCTTATTGTGCAACGTTGTAGAAATAATTTATCCACATCCCCACGACAAGGAGCACTGTAAGAGGACATTGTGAGGTACCCAAAGCAAGATTTCCAGCCTCAGACTTCTACCTATGAACGTTAATCTTGGAATAATTATCAAAGCAGGATCCTTGCCGGTATACCATCCTATAAAATTCCTGAACAAGAAGCCCTGTTAGGTTTTTAAAGTTGCATAGTGGAGCATTTTTTTAAAATGCCTTTGAGTCTGTGGGACTTAACTGGACAAGTCCCTGTAGTTTTCTTGGCAAGATTCAGAAGTGATTTGCCAGTGCCTCCTTCCTGGGGCTGAGCGAGAGTGACTGGCCCAGTCACCCAGCTGGCTTTGGCCTAAAGTGGGTCTCCTGGTTTCTAGATTGATGCCTTAACCACTAACCAAAGCTGGCTCTCATGGAACAAATGTACCCGTGTTTAGAAATCAATTCATAGTTCTAGATACCCCAACAGCCATTAGTTTTAGTGTCAATCAATTTATAGATCTAGTATCATGCAGCCTAAATTGGAGGTAGGAATATGGTAGTTCAGGATGTATTAATAGCTTGGTGGGGAATCTAAGATTTGACTGCAACAATTTCATATGTCCTATTATACTTATGAAAGTAAGATGGAAAGAAGGGAGGGGAAGAAAACCTGAACTAAGCATTGTCTATAGAAGTGTAAATGCATCAAGTGTAGTGCCCACTACATTTGGGTGGTATTCAGCAGGTTCTGACCAGTTCTGGAGAACCAGTAGCGGAAATTTTGAGTAGTTTGGAGAACCGGCAATTACCACCTCTGACTGGAGATTTTACAGTATCCTTCCCCTGCCACGCCCACCAAGCTACACCCACAGACAGGTAGTAAAAAAAATTGAATCCCACTGTTGAAAGGCATCAAAATGCCTTTCTTTCGAGGATTCAATTTTCCTGCTGGGAGAGCTCCGGTGCAAGGATACGGACAACTGCTTGAAAGCAGGATCTTTTTATTTTTCAGGAAGGTGGAGAACAGCGAGAAGTCTGCATTCCTGGGCTAGCTAGCTTCTTATGGTAAGTCCCTGGTTTTTTATACCCTTTTCTCCCTTTGTAAGTTGATTTTGTGTGAGTGTTTGTATTTGTGCTTAATGTTTCAAATCCTGTTTGAGTTTGTCTTTATTCCTGCCGGAGGGCAAACTCCGCGGGGTGCGGAAGGCAAACTCCGCGGGGTGGCCAGATTGTATTATTAGTTTTCTGTAATCTCTTTTAGCTTTAAGATAGTTTTTCATATTTGTTCTGTGGCAATCTCCAGTCTGTCCCTTTTGTAATTTATATTTTGTGGTTTTTGTCTGTTTGTTTTGTTTATTTGGTATGTCCTGTGTTTGTAAGGGTTTTCTAAATTATCTTTTGTTTTCCTTTTCCTATTTGTCTAATTTTCTTAATTACTTAGGCTTTGGTCTATAGGGATTCTTTAATACTTTTTATTTGATTCCTTTTCCTGTGTAAGTTTGTTTTCTGGCTGACCTGATGTTCCCCTTGGGCTTTTCCTGTTTTTTGTGACACTACTGCCTTCGTGAAATTCCCTTTCCACACCACCACTGACCCACATCTTGAGAAGACACCACCTTAACTTTGTGGGCAAGAGAGTTGTGGGTACAGGAGCTTCTGGTGAAGACATTTTAAAGGTAAGGATGATTTAGAAGAGTTCATTATAAAAATAAAATTGTGAAAACTTTAGATTACTATTAAATAGCAGGAAGACAAAAGTGATGCTTAGAGAATTTACAGTTGATGGTAAAGCAGTAGGTAGGATTGTTTTACTGGGCTTGGGATGGGTGGTGTGCTGGAGAAGTAAAGAAGCTAATCTAGAGAGGGATTGCCAGATTTTGATCCTATTCTATTACTGAGTTAAAATGCTTAATCTCTCCATTTTTGAGTTAGCAGAAAAGTATATCATTCTCCCTGGTACTGTTTCCTCTTCTGCCTCAGCTGTCTCTGTGCTGATGCATAGATGTGCTGATATCCTGGTTTTGCATATTGCAAAGTGTAACTGGCTACGCCATGAGTATTTGAATGATGGGATAGAAATTTAGATAGATTGACCAAGTAATGATGGGTTGAGTCTCCTGTCACCAGCAATGGGGAAACATCTCCCAACCATAAGGGAAACTGTAACAAGTGAGATGGGTCTGCAGGACTCTCTCCATAATCTTAGTCTCATTATTATGCCTCTCCTCCTCCTATTCTCCAATCAGTCTGAATATGGTTGTTGTTTTTTTAAAAAGAGAAATTAGAATCCCAAACAAAATTGGTTTGCAAGCAGCACTCTTACTTAGCATTCCTCTCCGTTTATAATGGTGACAAATGCCACCCTGAAGATTCTTCCATGCTGCTTGGGGGACAGTGGGGGCTTTATTGTTTCAGTATTGCACTAAATCAGAAAGGACTTTAGAGCAGGGATGTCAAACTCGATTTCATTTGAGGGCCACATCAAGGTTGAGTATAACCTCAAGTGGCTGGGGTAGCGTGGCTGGGGTGGGCGTGGCCAGCTCAGTGTCCCTCATGTCGGGGGCACCAAGTGCTCTGCCAGAGAAAACGGGTTCCTGGGTTCGGTTTTCAGCTGGGATGGCCTCCTGCAACCCTCTGCCATCGAAAACAGCATGGGAGGGTCGTATGTAGCCCAGCCGAGCTCTATTTTCACTGGTAGAGGCACCACAGGCTGGTCCTTTGCTGTTTCCAAGGTGGCCAGATCTAAGCACCCAGCAGGCTGGCCTTGAGTTTGGTACCCCTGCTTTAGAGTTAAGCATCTATTGTACCTGGCTGCATCCTGATATGGTTTTGATAAGTCCCTGACATGGTACTGCTGTAATTGGCTCTTTCGTGCAGCAGCATCCAGTTGGTGGCAGATAATGCCAACCAAGAACTGGAAGAGTGTGAAATGGTAAATTAGTGCTGATCTCATTAGCTACTGGCTATCTGACCTTACCTCCAATATAACAAGTGAATTTTACATTGTTTTTGGATGCTACCAGCTTAAGATGAAAGGTACTTTAACAATAAAATACCAGTAAAGATAATTTGTCTTCCTCAGTTATGGCTCAGGAATGAGATGAAGGAGATCTCGCAAGGACACAAGGGAGAAGAAAGAAGCAACAGGGCTAGTTTGTGCTTAGGGCCATGGAAGTCTAAAGGTGGGTTTAAAAAAAGGTGGTAAAAATGTGTGGTCAATTTGAACAATAAAATCAAGCTCTGCCTGTTCTGCATGACACACAACAGAAATAGGCAGATTGATTGATTTTTATTAATTAATTTATTGGATTTCTATAGCTGCCCATCTTAGCCAACGATTCTGGGTGGTTCATATACTACAATTAAAACCCTAAAAATGTTTTAAAATAATAAGAACAGTAACAACCATTTAAAATGGTAAAAAAAATGTTAAAATGTCCGATTCTAATACATACAGAGCAAGACACCAGGCCTGTTAACAATATAGCCAGGAGGACAGGAGGTGGGGCCCTTGGCACAGGCAGCACCCCAGATCTGGGAGCAGTGATTGTGCCATTGAAACTAGCATCTTGACTTGTTTGACCACATCCTCAAACACCCCTAATTAAGGGCAAATGTGGAAAGATCCTTAGATAATTCATGGAAGTTAAGGTTATGTCTATGACAAAAATCAGAAAAATTAAAATAGTAATAAGATTAAGTTGTGGAAGCTAGCATCCGAGAAAAGGTGATACACACATTTTGACATATGGATTGAAAGATGGATTCAGTCTAAGAATATCAGGAACTACAAGAAGAAGCCATCAATTACTCCTGGACAAATTAAAGACAGTTTTCTCCTGTAAGGCAATTATCAAAAAGCAGAAACATCTACCCAGGTAGTCCTCGACTTTCAACAGTTCAGTTAGTGACCATTTGAAGTTAAAACAGCAGTGAAAAAAAGTGACATGACTGTTTTTCACATCCCCATGATCATATCAGAATCGAGGTGTAGATTCATATTTATAATAGTTGCAGTGTCTGGGTTCATGTGATCATCTTTTGTGACCTAACCAACGAAGTCAATGGGGAAGGCAGATTCCACTTAACAACTATGCTACTAACTTAACAACTGCAGTAATTCACTTAACAACTGTGGCAAGAAAGGTCGTAAACTGGGGCAAAATTCCCTTAACAAATGTCTCATTTAGCAATAGAAATTTTGGCCTCGATTGTGGTCATAAGTCGAGGACTATATATTACATAGAATTATACACTATATAACATTATATTCTGGGAATTTTCCATTTCTGTAGAACAATCAGACATCAATAATGCAAATTCCATTAATTGGTTTTTTTTTTATTTGTTGCTGCCCCACAGCACTCTGTGCCGCATAAAGCAGTTGCACTTCAAAAGCAGAGGATAAAGGTGAGTATGGAAGTCCAGGCGGGTGGGTGGGCCCAACAGCAGAGCGACAGAACCAGTTTGGTCTCCGCTGCTCTTTGCCGCTATCGGCTCGGTAGAACCAGACCACACTGGTAGAATACCACCACTG